AATATTAGAAAATTTTCCGCAGCTACCATAAAACCTCAAATGTAATTTTTTTATTCATATATATGTATATTGCCGCAATTCTCAACAAAAAAGAAATTTAGCTGAAAGAGCTCAAGTTTATTCTTCGATGCTGATTTAATTATTTCTAAGAAAATATTTATCCTATAGCCGACCATATAAACAATAGTGGATTTGTTTATATGGATTTTATAAGAAAGAATTACCTATAATCCAAATTGAAGAAACTTATAACATTCATAGTTCTTTTGCAGCTTATGGATTTGCACGTGTTGACATGGTTGGCTCTATATGTTCTCGCTTAAACTGAACACTGGAATAAGAAAATATTTATAAAACTATTATTTAAATTTCTTCAAAACAATATTATAAAAAATACCTGTATATCATAAGATTATTCCTCGATCTACATATTATCATGAACGTTTCCACATTTATAAATTTGATTAGTTTTTTGTCTCATATGAACCTGATTAGGCTTAAAATTATTATTTTATGTATTCTTAAGGATCACACTAGAATATGTAATACAAAATGGAAAAAAAAAACATTACTTGGAAAATGTTAAATTTTATATTTTTCTTACCCAATTCACTTTTCTATATTTTTATATTTATTTTGTTATTGTTTTTTCATTTTGAAAAATCATATAGTTAAAGATAGTAGATTCCGAAACTAAACATTAAATTTAATTCTACATACATATGTATATATGTACATATTTATATATTTAAATTTATGCGTTTACGAATTTGGAGATAAATTAAAAAACACAAGCATACCTACACACATAGAAAAATTAAAAATAATATATAAAATATAACGATATTGTACATACATAATATAATATACATATATGCGTACATACATATAAATATATTATGTATTATATGAGCTACAGAAAAAATCTGAATAATAATGTTTTAAATAACATAATAACATTTACAACACATACAAAAAAAAAATTATAATAAAAAAAAATATCAACACACACTAATACAAACTGAAATCTAAAGTGCGAATAATATAAAAATAACTGTACAAACAAGTAAAAATATATGGTACATATATACAAAATTTAATCTCTTTAGATTTACTAATACGAAGTAAGATTGGTAAATTTTTGGACAATACATACATAACAAAAATTAAAAGAAGATAGAAGATCAAATATGTTTATAAAAATTGCACGATATCCATTAGGTTTAGGACCACCATGTATTCATCTATCGTAATTCGTAACATCATTTTACTTGTATGCATATGAAATATAATAATATAAAATATAGATTATGAATGTATAAGAAAAGACGATTTTTCCTATCTCATCTCAAAACGCGCTACACTAACACAATCATAATTACAACAAAAACTATATAATGATAGAATTGTCCAGTATTTTTTGCTATATTTCAAATACATTTTTAAAATCTTCATTGTATTGTTTTTAGTGTTGTTTTTATTTTTTTTCTTTTTCTTTCGTTTTCTATACAGTATTTTCTATCTTTATTACGCTTTCTCTCTCTATTTTATTTTTCATCTATATCTTTTGTCTTCTTCTTGGTTTACCAATATTTATATTATATTTTTTTCTTCTTTTAAACATCAAAAAGACACAAAAAAAAAAACAAAAAAACCAAAACATCATAAAAATTTTTCCATATATGAGAATTTTTGTTTTTGGATTGTGAGATTGCTCTCAAATAATTTTTTTACACAAAATCATTTGAAATCGTATTGTCGGACGGAAAGGACGAAATCGTTTTATTTCGTTTTTAAATAAAATAAATTTTTAAAACCGTTTGGTCGGTGCTAATTATTTATAATTTTTTCTTAAATTATGTTTTGATTTCTTGTACAATTTTTTAATTTTCCAAAAAAAAATTTTTTTTTTTTTGATATTTGGCTAAAACAATTTCGGCATATCAAAATTTTTAATAATAACAAAAAAAAACTAAATTTTGGATAATTATTTTTTAATAAAAAATTAAAGAAAAAAAAACAATTTCGGACTTAAAATTTACAAAAAAAAAAAAATTATTACATATTACAAGTGTTTTTTTTTTACTAATTTCTAATATTTTAGAATATAATTTGTAAATTTCTGTTTGTAATTACAAATATATTTTTTTATTTAAACTATAATTTAACAATTAAAAATTAATTGAATTTTTATTAAACAAAAATATAAATAAATTTTTTAAAAATTTTCGAAAAAGTGCAAAATTCTAAAATTAAAATTAAAAATTAATTATATTTAATTTAAAATTAATTTTTTTCAATTTTTACAAAAATAATTATTAAATTTTATGTTCTTCTCTGAATTATAATTTCCTATCACAATAATTAATATAAAAATAAAAAAATGTAAATGCGAAAAGTTAATATTAAAATATTGAAAATCGCGTGAAATCGGGTCTGTTAACTGAATGTACATATACATATATATATAAATAAAATACTAGATAACGCAATTCAAAAAACAATATTATAATTAAAAATAATTGTTTTATTAAAAAAAAAATAGTACAAAGTTATTAAATGTAAATTAAAAAATTAAATAAAAATTTAAATTAAATCAAGTAAAATAAAAAATTAAAATTCCAAATAAAATAATTATTACAAAATATAGTACAAATTTATTCTTAAAAATTATAAAAAAAAAAATAAATAAATATAAAAAAAAAGTAATAGAAGAAACAAATTTTCTTTTTTTTCTCTGTATTACAAAAGAAATAGCAATTTATTATATTTTGTAAAATTTAAATTAAAATTCAAAAATAAAAGAAATTAAAAGTACCTACCTACCTCCAATTACAAAATAATAAAAAAAATTACAATAAAATAAAGAAGAAAAAAGTTATTCAAATTAAATTTCTAAAAAAATTCAATACACACAAGAAGAAGAGAAAAAAAAATAAAGTAATTCAAAATTAGGAAAAGTGCTGTGGATAACTCTTAATATTTTTAATTTAAGCAATTCTATAACAATAATTATTCTTTTATTTTAAAATTTAGTTTTTTCAATATTTAAACAATTTTTTTTTAATTTTAATTACTAAAATACTTACATTCTGAGTATATACATATTAAATATAATTAAGTGAAAAATAATTTCCTACCTACCTACCTCTCGAAGAAGAAACAATATACACAAATAGAGTAAATTATTAAAGTACAGTCATAACAAAATAATATAAGAAACTTTTATATTAAAGAACAATTATAAAAAAAATAATACCATCCAATATCATCAATACAAAAAAATAAATACACTCTTAAATTATTTACAAATTTAAACACAAAATTTAAACATATCGGTCGAATTTTCATTGTTAAACATAACTATATTTTATGAAAAAAATTTCGAAACAATTATTATAATCCATAATTGTTATATATTTATTGATGCAATTACATACATATATACTGGCTGCCAACATATCTATATAATCCAAAAATATTCCTGTCTGACATAAAAATTATTTGAATTATTTTAATTTAAACTCCAAATTCTATACATATCTGAATTAATGGTAATTCTAAAAATTGTGTATAATTCATACATAAAGAAAAAATAATTTAACGTAGGAAAACGCAGTTATTTCTACTTATATGCATCGAGAACCGAAACCGGGAGAAGGAAGACCGCAACAATAATACTTAATATTGAAAAATCATAAAAAGTTAAAGTATTATTTAATTATTTTTATATTTTTTTTTATTTTATACAAAATTTAATTAAGAATTAATGGGCTTTTGACAATGTTTTAATGAGAAAATGAAAAAAACAACACAATAAATAAAGTACATAAGAAAACAATTAAAAATTTTTTCAATATAATAAAAATAAATATAGATACATAAAGCATATTGAAAATAAATAACATTTAAATGAGTGAAATACAATTAAATAAAAATCAATTAAATATATCGCATCTCTCCAACATTATCAATTCATATCAAGCATCATCATCCTAAGAGTAATCATTTATTATAGTCTAGTGCGTACACAACAGTGCGTATAGTTGCTACTAAAAATAATTTCGATTTGGACTCTACAATTTCGATTTTTTTTTTTTCGTAATACTTTAAACGACTTTTTATTTTTATTTTACAATTTGTTTTTAATTCTGTCCAAAAAAATAAAAAAAAAATTAAAAGTGATTAAAACTCACATTAAAAATAAAAAGTGTAATTTCGAGTAAAAAAAAATACCATAATAAAAGATAATAAAATTATTTACAAAAGAGAAGAAGGAGAAGAAGAGAAAACAAAGTTATTTTTTAACGAAAAATAAATTACAATTTTAATTATTTAACAAAAAACGTTGAGAAAATAAAATAAAGTAATTGAAATTTATTTAAAAGATTTACAGAAAAAAAAATTACAAAAATAAAATTTCAATAAAATAAAATTTTTAATGTGATTTAAATTAAAAGTAATAAACTAATTAAATTTATTTCATTAGATAAAAAAAAAAAACAAAATAAATAAATAAATTAAGTTTATTGGAAATTTTAATTGTCAAATCAATATTTAAGTTAATTTTTATGCTCTTTTCTTTTAACTATTTTTTTAAATACAAATTTGGTACGTTGAATTCTTAAATTTCACTTAATACACTCACAAACAATTAAAATGACAAACTTTCAAAAAAATCTATTTGAAAATACTTAAAATTTCTTAAAAATCAAAATTATAATGCATTCATATATCAATTTTAATCCAATTTTAAATTGAATAAAAAAGTAAATTAAAGTGAAATTTTTTGGACTTATTTTTTCGTTTTTTAAATTTAAAACAAAATAAAATGAATTTTATCAAGGGTATAAACTTTATCGGAATTTCTTTTCTTATAATTTCAATTATTTTTGAGAGAAAAAGAAATTAAGAAAAAATAATCAAATAAATTATATTGTAAAATAACGATTACAATAAAATAAAAACTTGAATCAAAAGAACTTGAATAGAAATTAATTGCAATATCATATTATTATCATCTTTCATAAAATTTTTACCACATTTAAAAGCTCTAATACAATTGGTAAATACTAATAAAGGCAAAATTTGTCCTTTTTGTGGTAACATTATTAATAAATAAATATTGAACTGTTAATATCCCCATATGCAGTATCAGCATGAAGATATGAATAACCACCGTTGGAATGTAACAACACCAACATCATCATCCACGGTTAATCAAGATATAACAACATCAGCATCAAATACTACATCATTATCAACATCATCATCTTCATCGTCGTCAAATAATAATGATGTTAATTGTGCACCAAATATAATAAATAATTTAACAAATACTAATAATAATAATAATATTATTGACAATACACAAAATTTAATTGAACAAAATAATAATAATAATAATACAACAACAACAGCTAGTACAACAATAATACCATCTGTATCAGCATCAGGTGGTAATCTAACACCAACAAGAAATGGTAATAGCAATACAACAACAATATCAACATCACCAATACAAAATTTAAAATCACCATTAACAACACAATCTGTTATTACGGATTCCGTTATAGACAATAATAGTCAAACAAAACATAACAATATTTACAGTAATCATCATTTACAACAATTACAATTAAAAGCTGAATCTCCATTGAATTCAACAATAATATCATCTTCATCATCATCTTCATCATCGTCTGGCATAGGTACAATATCTACTGCTTCAACAACATCAATAAATAATACAATAAGTGCTCCAGCTGATTCAAGTGATAATCAACCATCAACACCGCAACCATCGAATAATATATTGACATCTTCATCAAATCCTAATACCAGTAATACCGTCGGTAATTTAAATTTACTAGGACATCAAGCTCCAATATATTCAACATTGCCACCACATCAATACGGTGGTCAACATTTACATCATCCACATCATCCAGCACATCATTCGCAAAGTTTAATAACTTCAAACCAAGAAATGCATCCATATCCAAGTTATATGCACGGTTATGATCAATTTTATCATCCACCGCCACCACCGGCAACTATGGATTATGCGAGCAGTGGCACATTATATCCACCATCAGCAGCTAGCCAACAATCAGCCGCTGTAGTTGCAGCTGCGGCAGCTTCTGCTGCTGCTGCTTCAGCAACTGGTGGCGGGTTACAAGACTATAAATCTTTAGTGCCCCCAACAAGATATCACCCATACTTACCTAATGGAACAAGTCAAATATCGCAAACTCCTCAATCTGGAACAGCAACAAATAATGGTAATAATAACACTAATCCAAGTAGTTCAATATCAAATAGTTCACTTAGTCCTAGAGTAGTTAGCTCTTCGAGTCCGACACAAAATTCATTAATTGGTCAACAACCACAGAGTTCTCAAGATTCTAGTGGCTTAAATGGCAGTAGCTTAAATCAATCTGCTAGTGGACAACCAGATCCGTCAACAACGCCAAAGCAATGTGATAAATGCGGTTTTGTCTGTTCAACGGATATTTTACTAAATGAACATTACAATTCTGTTCACGGTGGACCGCCCACCTCATCAATGAGCGAGCCACTACGAACACCTGGAACACCATCAGTGAATGATGAAAATAGTATTGCGAATCAACAACAACAAACTTCACAAACTCAATATCCTTACCAACAGCCAACATATCCCAAGGATGATAATGGTTCTGATATTTTGGATTTAGATTCACAAAAAATGGTCTATCCTCCACAACATGATCCGCTAGGCCAGGAACAAACATTACCACCAATGAATTCAATGCATCCAATGCACCGTCCACTAATGTGGGGTTCCGAAATGCACGGATCCGGAAATTATATGCCTCAACCGCCAGAAATGAATAAACCTTATTATCCAAACCCAATGAAACAGGGTTATCCAGTTATCAAATCTGAATATGGTGTACCAATGAAAGCAACAGATTTTCCATCTAGTTCAGGTTTTACAGGTCAAATGATAAAAGCAGATTATCATCAAAGTATAACACCACAAAGTCGTCCTGACATGAAAGGATTTGGAAATGAAATACCAAATGTCAACAACCCAGTTTCGTCAAGTCCTTCGGAATTCCCAACGACCACAAATCCACAGGAAAATGGTCCACAATTTCGAGGATTTGAACCTCCAACCACAACACTATCGGGTAATCCAAATGTCGTGAAAGCGACTACTTGGAAATCAAATGAAGCTCGCCGACCGAAAACATATAATTGCACTGCTTGCAACAAGTGGTTTACAAGTTCTGGTCATTTAAAAAGACATTATAATACAACATTGCACAAAAATGCTGTCAAATCAAGCGGTCAGCCAGACCCCGCAACAATGCCTATTAGTGCACATCATCATCCTAGTAGAGATCCAAACCATAAATCAAATAGAAGAAATAATGCGCATTCACAACAACCGCCGCCGCCGCCTCCGCCCGAACCGCCTAGGAGCCCCGAATATACGTCACAATATACACCACCTCCAAGTGGTTTTTCACAACAATCACAGTTTCAATCTTTTTCTCAACAAATGAATACTGGTGTCCATTCTACAACCCAACAAAACTCAGCCTCTAACGGTCACCCAAACGGGCAAGCAGGTCCCTCCGTCCAAGCCTCCCAACCGAGGGGCCTGCTGATCATTTCATCGACCATGGAGCAACAAATCAACAGCAACAATCTGGAGCAGGAGGATCAGGTGCACAGCAGCCAAATGCCCAACAGTCCGCGGGAGGGAATTTACCATCACAATCAGGACAATCGACAATCGGATCTAATGCTAGCAACAACCAACAGTCCCAGTCGCAGCAACAGCAACAATCCTCATCTACATCCGGATCAACATCATCATCAGCAGGATCTACAGGAGCAACAGCAGCTGCTTCAGCTGCGGCAGCAGCAGCAGTCGCATCTGCCAACTCATATTATCTCCCACCACCGGGGCCCCATCCGGGAGGATTACCGCCTCCCCCACCAGGGCATCCCCATGCCCTCGGTCACCTCACCCACCATACATTCCACCACCATCCATCACAATACCATAATGGATCACCAGCAGCCGCATCAATACATCAGCCCTTTGGCTATCAACACAACTTCTCCCACCATCCATACAACCAGCACCATCATCCCATCATACCAACTTCAGCAACAGCAAGCGGAGCACCAGAGTTATCACACTATTATTGGTAATAATTTAGACTTTTCTACTTCAGATAATGATAATAGCGAAAATAATTTGCTACAAATAAATTCACCATTTCAATCTTCTAATTCAATGCATTCCACTACATTAATGGACGATTCAACAACATCATCATCAATTAATGATCAACAAATATTACATCAATCTCAACGTTTACAGACGACGGCCGATGGCAGTATCCAAGTAGTTACGACTATTACAGCAGCCCCTCAAGCTACAATGCTAAGCCATCCTACTACTGTGGAAGTAGCACGTATATCGGGGGGCGCAATAACCACCACATTACAAGAAAATCAAATTCTTCCCTACTCGCCAGTTGTACCTGAGTATTTACGTCAAAGTACACCTAGTAATGGCGAAAGATCACCACAAGAAGCTGATATGCCACCAATAATAATACAATCAGTTTCACAAACATTACCATCATTTCCATATTCACCAACAATTTCGTCAACGGTTACTGGTTTAAATTTTGATTCAATAAATAATATACAACAAAATCATCAAACAATACCTATTCAAATGAATACTTCACCAGAAACACCTTCAACAACAAATAATTTATCAATTATTACAGATAACATTAACGATAACAACAAATTTAATAAATTAATAAATATTGCTGATACTAATTATAATATTAGTAACAAAAAACAATCCAATAATAATACAAAACGACGTAAAACTGGGAAAAATTTATCATCTGCCGTCGGTGATATATTAATGAATAACAACAGTAACGTTAACACTAATAACATCAAAGTCGAATTATCTTCAACATCAACAATAAATAATGGTAAGATTGAATGTATTGAATGTGGTAAAGAATTCGCAAAAATTTGTTATTTAACCCAACATAATAAAACTTTTCATTCTGGCGAACAACCGTATCGTTGTCAAAAATGCGGTAAACGTTTTCCTTCTGAATCAGCTTATGATGCTCATTTAGAAAAGCATAAAGCTCAAGATAAACCATTTAAATGTGATAAATGTCCTAAACAATTTCATCATAAAACTGATTTAAGACGTCATCGTGACGGTCATACTGGTTACAAAGCTCATATCTGTGACACATGTAGTAAAGGTTTTTGCCGTAAAGATCATTTAAGAAAACACAGTGATACACATAAACCGAAACCAGCTAAAAAGAAACAATTAAATAATAACATTAATAATAAAAATAATAGTAATAATAATAATAATAATAGTAACATTTGTAATAATAATAGTAATATTGAAAATATTTTAATAGATGACTATAAAAATTTAACTGACACTACCAATTTATTTAGTTTAATGGAAAACGCTTCAATTTTTGTTAAGGTTGAAAATTAATTTCATTTTATAATTTTAATTTGACTAAATTTTATGAAAAAATTAATATTATTTTTTTTTAATTTGAATTTGATTTTGAAATTTCCTAAAATTTATATTAAAAATGTTTAGTTTGCTAGTTTGTATGTTATTACATATTTTATGAATTTATGTAATTATGTTTTGGATTATGATTATGCAATTCTTAATATTTTATTTCAAAGGTATTTTAATCAACATCGTTTAAATATTTTTAAATAGTTTTAAAATTTAATTTGTTCGGGTTAATTACTTTAAGATGAAAGATTTCCTCAGGTTATTGAACACTTTATATGAATTTGTTCAAAATAATTAGAATAATATTGATTTAAAAATCACAGTTAAATAATATTGATATAAGAATCACAGTTTTAATAAGTTTTCAATTTTTATAAAAATCGTCTAAATACTGTTTTCTTATTTTTCTGCCAGTTTTGTAAAAGCAAACGATTTTCAAAACTAGTGAGAAAATATTTTCATATAACTATTTAGAAAATTAAAATCAGTAGTTTCTCTTCAATAACAATTTTGGGTTAATTTTAATATAAAATTATTTCACTTCTTTTGATTTTATTAAAGATAAAATAAAAAGAAACCTGAATTCATTAACATCTATACCATAATCCAATACATAAAACACATTGTGAATATGTTTTAAGTGAAACATGAAAATTTAATATAAAATTTGACACTTATTTTATAATAAAAATGTAATTTACTATTTTTAATTTAGTTTTATTTTAAGATTTATTAAAATATTTTGCTAACATAATTGAATTTAACATATTAAAATTTTGTTTTCTCAATTACGTTAATTAATAAATACACATAAATTTAAATACTTTTAGTTTTCTAAGAACAATTTTTAAGATGTATAATTTTATTTTTTTAAATTTTCGTTTAGTTTAATATTAAAATTTTGTACGTACTTAAAAACTATTTGTTTTATAATTATATTTTTAGAACTATTACAAATTTCTTTTTAAGTTTTTCAATTGTTTAAATATATAATTAGGAATGATATTCAGATAAATTTCAATATAAATAAATTAGGTAATTAATATTGTAAAGTCCAAAAACACATTTAAAAAAAGTCTTAAACTTAATTTATAATTAATTTTTTTATATCTATATTTTGTTTTTCACTTTGATTGTTTTATTGCAATAGAAATTGTTATTTATATCGATTAATTGATAATATAATATAAAAAAAAACGATTAAATTTAAAGAAAATAAAATTGTTTTGCTTATTCATTAAGTGAGTAGTTTCCCTTTTGTTGATTATATCTTTTTTATATACATATATTAATATTTAAATATGTTGTACTCATATAAAATTAATTTTGATCTCAGAAAAAATTAATACATGAAAATATGCTCTATATTTCGACTTATATATATATTATAATAAATGTACACTTATTATTTCTGTTATAATTTTAATTATGTAATTGATTTCTTATTTTATTTTAAGAATTATTATTTTTTTTACTATTTTTAATTAATATTATACAATTAATTTAATATAAATTTTGTCTCATAACTAATTTTTAATTTTATATTGCCATAAGTTTTGTTGCAGTCAAAATATTAATTAATAATTATCGTTATATTAAAAATTAATTATCTAATTTGTGCAAATTATTATTTGCATATATCTATACAATATACATTTATAAATATATTATTTTAATTCAAAGTATGAAATTGTATTTTACAATAAAAATAAACAAAAATTAGAAAAATAGTAACGAAGGTTGTTCACATTTTATAATTAATTGAAAATAGATACTATTTGCTCAAATTAATATGACAAAAAAATTAAAAGAAAATTTAACTACCTCTTATATACACACATATAAATAAATTTATTAATAAATATTAAAAATTAACTAATATTTTTAGGAACAGTTTTTAAAATTATGTTTTTATTATTTTATTTTTTTTTTATTTGATAGATAATTTTCAAATTTTTTTTTTTGATATTATGTAAATATACGTATAATTTATTTATAATTTGTATAAAATAATTAAAAATAATTTTATTATTTTTAGAATTTCAAAATTCAAATAATCTTGTGAGTTTTAAATTGTTTTACATATATTGGAAAAAAAGGAAAAACTAAAATAAATTAAAAAGAAAATAATAAAATTCCAAAAATAATTAAATTTATTATGTTATATTTTATGATTAGTAGTAGTGTTATGTTATATGAAAATTTATTAAATTAACAAAAGTGTATTAGGTATATATTACGTGCAAAAGTTTCCATAAATAATTAAATATAATATTTTTTCTATATAGGTAATTTTTATTCTGTTCATATAATAATAATTTTAATAGGGATTATATTAAATTTCCGATTATAAATTTTCATAAAAAAACATAATTACAATTAATCAGCACTGATAATTCATAAAGAACTAAATTTTCTATATTACTTATACTTTATCTTAAATATTCTAATATTAAAATATGATTTTAAAATATTGATTGAATTGCATATTTCAAGAGTTTATTTTGTAAACTTTTATAGTGGTGAATTTGTTTTCTAAAAATTTTTCAAAATTTTTTATAAATTTTTTATTTTTTTGTTCAAAATATTAAATAATTTCAATTTATTAAAAATTTATATGATTAAAAATTTCTTTTTTTACAAGACTATTAAGTTCTTCAATATTTTACAAGCTTCGCTTTTTTAATAATACTCGTAAACTTGTAAATGATAAAATATAAAATTTTGAGTATTTTTTTAATATAATTTTACAATATATGTAATACTTAATGAATTTACAAAATTCAAATTTAATATTGCAACTAATATCTATAACATAAATATACACATTTATCATTAAATAATTCAAATAACTATTAATAATACCAAAGAAAAATAAATTTATTAGTTCTAGTTAAAAGAGAATAAAATATTTCTTAAGTGTTAAAATATGAATTTTAATTATACATTAAAATAGTAAAAGTGATTTTTCAAATTGTGTATCAAAAAAAAAACTACATCCTGACCATAGAATTTACAATAATTTTCCATTAACACTTAGTACGATATTATTATAATTTAATTTTTAAGTAGTATAAAACTTAAATATTATTATAGATAATAGTTGCAATATTGAAATGAATTAAGTATAAAGCAAATAATTTTTTAATAAAATTATATTTAAAACTAATATTCTAAAAAGCATTCAAAATTTTAAGAGCAAATCAGTGTCCGAAAATGGAATTTTAATTTAAAAAAAAACCCCTATAAAACTTATAGAAAATTTTTTGGAAATTTTATAATATAAAATAACACAAAAAATTATAGATAGTTAGTAAAAAATAAAGCAAAAAAAAAGACATCTATATTAAGAGTATTAAATGTTATGAAAATTATACAACAAAAAAAAGTATTTGTTTCTTTTTCAATTTTCAATTTTTAAAAAATTTATTTTCGTACATTTACTTGACTTTAATTTTAAAAGTTAATTCGAAAACAATTATGTTGAAAATAATAAAAAAATTTTATGTTTAAATTAACAATAATTAATAGAAATAAAGGAATAGGAACTCATATTTTTTTATAACGATTTTTCTTTTTAAAATTAACTAAAAAAATATATTTGTAATTATAATTTTTCTTTTAGTTATTAATTATTATGTTTATTTTAAAGAAATTAAATTAAACAAACAAAAAAAAAATGTTTTATTTTATGCTTCTATAAGTTTTTATTTTTTATTTTATAAATAAAATCACTTATTTTTAAAACAAAAAAAAATTTTTTTTTATTTGTAGAATTTTAGCTTTTTTTATTTTTCAGAATTTTGTTTAATTTTGCTATAATTTTTCTAACACACTTTAAAATACTTGTAAGAGTCATGACATTAAACAAAATACTGACTAAAGCATAGTAACTGTTAGCAAATTAATATTTATTAAATAAATTTAAGTTTTAAATTTATTTTAATTCTAAATATATTGAGATTGAATAAATTACATGACACCACATTAAATAAGATAACTTTTAAAATAATATGAACGCGGTTTCGAAATTTGAAATCAACAATTTTATTTTTACAGAGAAACAATTTGTTATCTAGCGATTTAAAAACAGCAACAAGGTCTTCATAGACTATAATTAAATCATCTTCATAACTTTAATTATTCAAAATCTTCATAAACTTTAATAATTTTTAATTGAAATTCGCAAAAGTTTGAATATTAATCAATAGAATACAGGTAATACAAATCAAAAAAATACAACAAAGAAATTAGGTTTAATTCTAACATTGTGTTAAATATATGTTGTGTTTTATTTTGTGAATGATTGTTTTTTTGAATTTGCATGGTATGTTAATTAAGTTGGTTTGGCTTTACTTTTTTTTGAATTAAAATATCTAACTATTTAGGATGACTTTTACTTATAATGAACTATAATATCTAAATATGTATATCACTCTGTTAAGTTGATTATAATGTGTAATTGTATATATATTATATTAAATTTTATGAAAATTCCAATAAACAATTTTTTTAACAAATTCGACTATACTTTATAAAACTTGACACATTAGTAACATTGTAGGTATATCATATATCTGATAAAAACGATTCCATAATCAATCTCTATAAATTTATAAAATTTTCCTCATTAACCTAAAAAGAAAGAGCAACTAATAATAATTTAATATCAATTGGAATTTTGACGAGAATCAATTAATTACATTTATTTGATTATTTGATTAAATTAAGTTATATAAATATAAGTAATCAAAAAGGTGGTTTCTCATTTTCCTTTATTATAATTGACTATTTGTAAAGGAATTTCACTTTTAAGCCAGCCTATAAATTTTGCCAGAATGAAATCAAGATTTCGGATTTTTTTCTTTTAGTATTACTCTGAAAATGAATAAAAAAATTGTATTATTTTTATAATTTTTTTTTTAATTTTTCACAGATTATTCATATTGTCATGAGAACTTGTGAGCAGCATGCACAGTTTTGTAATTCTTCAAAAATGCCATATACTGCGTTTATTGAATCAAAATAAAAACCATATGAAAAAATGTTGCAAAACAATATTAATATTGGGAAAAAAATATATGGTAAAATTTAAAAACTAAATAAATTTCATAATTATATTTTAAATATTTTAATATATTTTTTTAAAATGATTAATCAAAATATTAAATGAACCTTTTTATATTTCTTTTAATATGTATTTAGATATATAAAACAAAATAAATTTGTTTTCAAAATTATTTTTATTAATTTTACAGAAAAATTATAATGAAAAAAACAACATTATCTCTTTGATTGTAATTTAATTTAATTAATAATTTTTTATTTTGTTTTCTGTTAAATCTTCTTGTTATAGTTACAATTATTGATAATTAATTATTAAAAATAAGTATTTTAATTAAAAAAATCTTTTATTTGTTAATGAAGAAAGAAGAGAAAAAGTTAAATAATGTTTAAAAGGTTTTTTTTTATATCAAAAACGACGTTAACCAAGCAGCTTTTTATAAAAAATAATCATATAAAATGTAAATACAATTTTACAAGTTTATTTTATCAATAGAAATTAAAATGACAATATTTCATTCTTGAAATAAATATATAATATAAATTAATAAAGTATGCAATTCAATTGAATGAAATGAAATCTTACATTTTGCAATTTGGTTAATCTACACAAAAATAGTAAATTATCTTTTGCAAAAGTATATTAGGTATAATGTAGTTGATTTTCGATAATTCAGTTCCAACTTAGGTCTTAATATAAAGCATCCTCGATGAATCCTGAAGCCATAAAATCCGCAAAAATACCACGTTCAAAAATTACAGTTGCGCTTGAAATTCTAGAAGAATCTTTAAGTTTTTTTATAACCACTTCCAATAATATAAATTAGGGCTTTTTAGAAAAATATTGGATATTAAAGAATTGGTGGAGTATGTTACAAATCTTCAAAAGCAAAATTTTCAGTTTTTAAATCCTTCAGTAGATTTCTGAGTTATCGAAAATCACAAAATGAATAGTAATTTTATCAATTTTTCATGCTTTGTTCTTAGAGTTTACTTACAACTTTAAATGCTATAGCCATGTCACATCACAGTTTACTCATCCAGTTTAGTATTTACATCAAATTTTAAATTTTCTTTTGTTTCAAAGAGTTTATTTGCAGTTTTCCAATTTTTTTTTGGGAAATAATTGTGATTTTCCTAAAATTTTTAAAAAATTAAATTAATAAATAAGTAAGTTATTACCTCTAATTTCAAAGTATAAACAATTTTTTCAAATACACTAAGTCCTCGAGATACGACATTTTTGGTTCCAGAAATTTTTGTCGTAACTCGAATTGTCGTTTGAGGAGGAAAAAAAATGTATTGAAACAAAAAGTGAATTAGACATAGTTTAAAAAATATAATAACAAAATCAAAAAAATTCAATGATGTAACAAAAATAAATAAAATAAAATCTAAATAAGTTGATATTTTATCACTTCAATTCGTATTCCTAACTACTAACTAGAATTTTTAACTTGAAAGAGTTCATTGTTGAAGTATGTGCTTTAGTCTCGTCTTATAACTAAATTCGGTATAGATTTTTATTCAAAAAACAGTAAAATCTGTCAAAAAAACAATTTTTTTTTTTAATTTTCAATGTCGTATTAGGAACAATATCGTAAGCCGAATAAAAATGATCCAAATTTATATCATGTCGTAACTCGAAATGTCGTATTAGAAGATGTCGTATCTCGAGGACTTAGTGTACTTCCTTAATTGAAAACAGTATTACACTACGACAATTTTTTTTAAAATAATATGAAAGCTTAAATTTAAATTTCAAGTTTTTAATTGACAATGTCATCATATAGCTATAGAGCGATTCTCAAAATTTAATCATCGATTAATTTCGATGTATCGATGAAGCGAAAATTTTGACAATTAATCAATTCCACAACATTCTCTTTTAATTTTTTTCTTTAAATTTCAATTAAATTCAATTTTAATACGTATTTGCATATTATATCGTTGTATTAGTTATTGATTTATTGTAATAATACAATTTTTAATTCACAGTTATTAGTATGCTACCATAATACAAACTGGTTCCTAAATAAACATATAATAATAATTATTTCTGAAATGTCAAGTTTTTGTGTTTATGTAACCAAAAAAATATTCCTACATAATTAATTATGTTCCTATTTCGATTCACTTCATTTTTATTAGTTTTTTTTTGATAATATTAGTAATAAAAATATAAAATTAAAACTTTGCTAAATCAAAAGAAATTTTAAATAAAAATTTAATTTTTAATTAAATAAAATATTAAAATAAAATAGTAAATTCAAAAAATTGAAAATCATAAGATTGACATTTTTAATATTGAACAATCTATCTCATAAAAGACTACCTCAAATATTTAGAAGACAAAAGAAATAAAATATATAGAATTAAAATATGCATAAGACTTTTTATTTGATAAAAGAAAATATTTTATTTAGATAATTTATACACTAACCATAGAAAAACAGAAAGAAAAACGAATATTTTTTAGCATAAATAAATTTTACATTCAATTGCCAAAATATTCTAACTTTCAAAATTAATTGACAATCTTGTCATAATTTTGAAATTTCAATTTCAGAAGAAAAAAACATACATAGTTTTACTAAAAATTAAAACATTTAAATGAAATCAATGAAAAAAAAATACAAAATAGAATAAATTACAATTAAATAAATTGCATCAATTGTTATAGTTGTTTTTACAAATTGAAAAAAAAAATATATAAAAATAAAATAATAATCTCCTTTTTAAGATTGGTTTCATATTTGAATTTAGAAATATACTGGTTAATAATTGGTTTAATAAGAACACAAATGGCAAATAATTTTTAATTTAATATTCTTAAACTCCACGAAAACAATTAAAATCAAATAGCCAAAAATTTCATCTTAATTCAAGTTTATATTGTATAATTAACACAAGATCCAAAATTCTATTTCAATTCAAATGTGAAAACTGATTTCATAGTTAATTAATTTTAAAACGTTATGAAAAATAATAAAAATTTAAATTAGAGATTTGTAATTGTATTTTAACAATTGCATAAATAAAATTATTAAATAATTTTCATTTATATTTAAACATAAATATTAATATATAGCAAAAAATTTTCTGTTTGTTTTAATTTAAATTTTTTCATCTGCCGTTTTGTTATATTTTAATATGACGTATTTGTTTTAAGTTTAAAATGTCTTAACAATTTTGTTACTAATTTTTTTTAATTAAAATCATATCTAAATAATCCCTCATATTAAAATATTATATATGATCAAGGTTGTTATAGATATGGCGAAACAAAAATCTATTCTTTCATTTAAAACGGATTTAAATGTTTAATTATTAAACTATGAATAAAAATGTCTTTTGTTGTATTTGATTCAAATAAAAAAAAATATTAATTTATTATTTCGATTAATTTGAAATATTTTTGTATGAAGGAGACAGACCATAAATATTAAAAATACAAAATTAAAACTTTTATTGAAAAAATTACGTTTGGCACAACAAAAAAATTGTTTGGATTAAAAATATGGAAGAAAATTAAAAAATTGAAGAAAGAAAAAATTCGTGTTTAGGACAAAATTAACTGGAAATAAAAAATGAAAATAATGAGAAAATAAAAAATTTAATTAATATTAAAAATTTAATAATGCAGGGAAAGAATTTCGAAGAAAAATTATAAAAAAATTTTTAAAATTATTTGATTGAAATTTAAGAAACAAAAAAATTTAACATAAAAGTATTAAAAAAAATTTGTAAAATTTTCGGAACAAAATTTTAATGTTTGGTATATAAGAGATTTGGAAAGTGAAAATTCAAAAAAAAAAAAAGAAAAAAATAAAATTTAAAATTTAAGGTTTAGGATTAAAATTAAAAATTTTTAATAAGAATAATGTTAAAATAAAAAAGTATATTTGTAAAGAAATATAAGGTTTGTTTCCGTATTTATAAAAAAAATAACCAAGAACAAAACAAAAATAATATTCTTAATCTTAAATAACTTACCTACTTTTATTATTTCAATCATTTTAAATATTTAATTTTCAATTTACAGTTAATATATATTTAAAACAAAATTAATAAAAAGAATATTAAATTAAATACGTAAAATAATTTTGTTTTCACAATTTTGTTCTATTTTAATTAAATAAATTTTACTTTTAAAATTAAAAGTGGAATATACTTAAAATTTCAAATTAATGTCTATTATTAATTATTATTTCATATTCTACAACTGAATTTAAAAAATGCCATTATTTTAATGCATCACAGTAAAACTGCGTTTAACAAATCTTATTGCTATTGAAATTTTAATATTATTCCACAAACTGTTATTTTTGTTTCTTAATTAAAAAAAAATAGAAAATTATGCAAAAAAATAAAAAAAAAAAATAACTGTTTATTACAAATAATTTTTCCTTTTTTCATTATACCTGTTAATAAAATTTAAAGCAATATAAAATTGAATTTTATAAAATTTAAGAAATCTATATTAAATATTTTTAAAAATTATTAAAAAAAATATAAAATGATTGTACTTGAAAACAAAAATATAAATATAAAAAGAATAAAAATGAAAAGGAACACATGTACCTCTGCGAAATAAAATAAATAAGAAATACATAAATGATAAAAACAAAAAACAATATATATATATACATATACATTTATATAAATATATATATATATATATGTATCTTTATTATATATATATAATAAAGATACATATATAAAATTAATATATATATATATATATATATATATATATATATATATATATATATATATATATATATATATATTAATATAAATGACATATATAATAATATAAATATTATAAATATATATACATAATATATATGTACATATATATATATACATATATATATATTATATATATATACATATATATATATATATATATATACATATATAAATGACAGTAAATAAGGAAACAAATTTTAAATATTTAATTGTAAAATTATTAATTATTTATATATATTGAGGGAACTCATAA